CGGCTTCGGTCTTTCTGGCAAGCACATTTGCCCAATAGCAAAAACCTCTCCAAAAAAAAAAAAAAAAAAAGCATAGCAATAAACCACCCTCAAAGTAAGTTGACAGGAAAGGTTGTGCACACTGGGACACAAGGCTGGGAGCAGCAAGAGGGGGCTGGGGTGGGAGAGCGCAACAGCAGAAAGCCGTCCTGTGGGCCTGCCGCTGCCTCAGAGCAGAGCACTGACCTGCACAGCAAGAGTGATCCTGCGGAGGGGAGTCTGCCAGCATGCGCTCGTCCCCAGCAGCGTTCTCAATCACCATCGCAGTGAGGGGGGTTACAATATGATGTTCCAGAGACATCTGCAGGATTGTTTTGGTAATTTTCCTTTTGGCTGCAGCTGTAGGAGCCAGACTTCTGTATCCAGGAAGAAGAGATGTCACACAACGTCTCCACAATTAGCACTGAAATGAACCCCCTCCACTGGTGTCCACCCAGGCCCCAGGCAGACAGGGAGGCACAAGGGAAAGGGGAAACAGAACCAACCCACTTCAGGAAATTTAGTATTTTTTATCTAGCTATTCAGTTCCAAGGGATTTAATGTTTAGAGCCGTTTTATATTCACAGTGAACCTGAGTGGAAGGTACCACGGACTCCCGTAGATCCCCTGGCCCTACCTTCACACAGCCTCCCCCAGTTTGAGATCCCGTACTAGAGTGGTACATTTGTTACAACTGATGAAACCCCACAGACACATAGTCACCCTAATTCCATCGTTTACATTCAGGTACATCCTGGCGTACATTCTATTGTCTGGACAAATGTATAACGACACATATCCACTATTAAGTGTCATACAGAATTTCAGTGTCCTAAAAATTCTCTCTGCTCTACTTACTCATCCTATCATCCTCTTCAACCCCTGGGAACCAGTGATCTTTTTACAGGGATTTAAAAAAAATCAATATTTAACTTCTGCAGCAATTTGCTCTCTGCCTTTAAAATACATCCAATGTGCTTCTGTCAAAGGGGCAGGGATATTTCTCACTTTCTTCAAAGCCACAGCTTACAGCCTTGTGTATCTTTTATAATCTTATCGACATCAGGGATTTTCTCCCTGAGTCCCGTTATACAACTGCATTTCATTTTTCCAACCTAGTTCAGATGACCTTGGTCCTTTTTCCTGAGAATCTGATCTGTTAGGTGGAGTGGGCTCAAGAATGCTAAGTTTTATCAAACACTGTCCTGTAATTATTTTCTCAGAAGGTTTATTTATTTCTCCTATGAGTAGGTGAGGAGAGACGTGGAGAGAGACAGAGAGACGGCACCTCAGACAGTGTCCTCACACTGTAATCCAAATGGACCCCCAGCCAGCCCTGGATCATGAGCAGCTATGTGCGCTGGGTTCACAGGGAGGTCTCTGGGTACAAACCCCAAACCTTTCCATGTGGGTCAGCCTTGCAGACCGTCATATTTTACCACTGGGTCGTCATCTGCTGTGCCCCACCATGTAATTCTGATGCAGATGATTAAGAACCATACACTACTTTATACTGATAAACTATATTGACAGTTTTTTTTTCCTTAAATTTTTGCTATAGGGTGTGTGCACTCACAAGAGAGAGACAGGGAGAGAGGAAAAGTGAGAAAGCCCCCTCAAGGGGGATGATCACATCACAATCTCTTCTCTGCCACTCTCCTCGTGGGATTTTGAGCACGCACACACACACGCCTGACATGATTTTCAAGCCACCAGGTTTGAGACTTAAACCACAGTCAGCCATGTGGGAATCCAGTGCCTTAACCACCATGACCCCTGATGTACCCACTGCCTGCCCCCCCACTCTCCAGCAATACAGTAGATTGGAAAGTTGAAATGCAGCTTGGCTGAAAGCCGGAGGTGACATCAATGAGCATTAGGGATCCTTCACTTAAGTGACATCAAAAAAATCACATAAGCTTAAAATTCTCTTTGGACAATGATGTGTTTCCAGGAGTAAATGCAAGTGAACTACCGTACACACATCATCATTGCAAGAATCTCACAGATGTCATATTGAGCGAAAGAAGCCAGAAACAAAAGAATATAGAGTACACGATTGTGTGAACTTTGTAACAGGTGAAACTAATTGGTGGTGACAGATATTGCAATCATGATTTCCGTGGGAGGTGGAGGGTCGGTATGAGTGGGAAGCAAAACGGGAAACTCTCAATAGTTCTATAACGAGGACTATTACAGTTCTAGTAATAATTCTGAGTGGCGATTGCCTAGCAGATACACATAAAATTCATTACATATACAATTAAAATTAATGTACTTTACACACATTACTGTATGTTATACCTCAATAAACAAGAAAAGAGTGAGCCCAATTTTAGCTAAAGTGTTTAAACCTGTGGAATTTAGTCACCAAATTTGTATTAATTTGCTGCTTTTCTTAGTTCCAAAGTCTTTTTTTAATAATTTTTTCTTTATTCACGATAAAGCATATATGCATACATTGAATAAGAGAGAAAGAGAGAGAGACAGAGAAAGGAAGAGATAGGAGCACCCTCCTCAGAGGCTGTTCACTGTGATCTCCCTCCTGCAGTTCTTCAGCCCATTAGATCCTGCGAACCTGTGTGTGTGCTGGGCCTGCTTCAGGCTGACTGCGCTGGGGATTTAAATCACAGTGGCCACATGGTGTCTGGTTTCTCTTGAACAGTGCATTACTGCTGTGCCATGAAGCTGGCCTCCACGCTCTTCATATATGAGTCAGATATTCAAGGTAAACATTTCACTTCAGGGCATTGCTGTGGTGTGTATACTCTACCCTCCTTACCTTTCAGCTAGCAGCTGGTTGATGGTTAGATAAGCCCACAGTTTTTTGGTGAAGTCAGGATCTGCATGTTTGTCTTTCGATAGAAAATCCTCCAAGTCATCCATCTGGGCTAGGGTTTCCAAGACTAACTCCGTGCTAGCCTACACGAAAGAAGGTTCCGATGAAAAACACTGGGGTAGCAGAATTATAATGATAATTCACAGTTTTAGTACCTGTTCTGAGTTATCAGAAAGGTTCCTGTACTTAAAAGAAATAGAAAAGAAATGGGAGGCAGAGGAAGTAAAAGCATGACTCTGGAGATTGGGATTAAGCTTGGATGAACAGGTAAGGATTTGTAAAACTGTTGAGAAGACGGCAAAGACATTCTCATGCCTTCTCCTTCATTGACTGCTTTTATACTACACACAGGGTTCTGGGAATGCAGAATATTAGCCTATGAACATACAAGGTGGACTATATCCATGGGACTACTTAGTACACTTAGAATGAGCAGATAAGCAGAAGTACCGAGGTCGCAGTGATCACGCTCTGTATTTGCTCCAACTTCTCAGGGTCATATTTTCCTGCCACCACAATCTCTGAACCTCCAAAATAGTTGTAGAAGCTGTTTTGTGTGACATCCGTTACTGACGTGTGGGGATAGTTGAACTGAACATTTCGGAGCAAGGGGGTAGAAACCTGGTTGTAGAATTTCTACAATTCATGAAAACAGAGAGGAATCATTATTTTTATACCATGCTGTAACTCTAAAGCATTGATCTCTGAGATTTTTCAAAGGCCAAGCAGATACCTCTTAACTTATTCCGGCAGGGTCTCTGGGACAAGAAAAACTGTTTAGAATGATCAGAGAAAAAGACAGACATAGAGAAGAGAAAGAAATGATTAAGAATGTTATCCTTGACATTTTCTTTTTCTTTCTATTAGGATCTGTTGGATGACAAACTCATGGTCGTCAGCAATCATAAAAGTCAGTTGGGTTGATATTTCCCAAGTTAGAACTCTATCCCTTACTTGTCCCCAAGTTCAAATATGGTGCCTGGCACTGACAGGGTAGGAGGTGTATTCTTGTTTTTCTACATTGTCTTCTCGTCTGCTTAGTAAAAATAAATAAGTAATTCATATCTTTTATATTTAAGGAAACATATAAGCCATCATTTGATGTCTCTTATGTTATAAAAAAATATATGTACCAGATATCAGTGCATGTTAAAGGGAAATGGGCAGCCATTATATGGAGTCTGAAACTCAGTGAAGCCCCAAAAAGTTTTGCCAGTGCCTCAGAAAATGTTTGTTTGTTCAGAGGGTAAGGAAGGGCACACCCAATGCCTTTCTGCCTCATGTCTCCCTGTTAGTGGAGAAATATAAAGGGAGGAGAATGCGTGAGAAAAGAATTGAACACTTCTCTGATTCTTGCAACTGCGTTATGGCTGAACTATTGTCAATTTTGAGTTAAATTTGTCCATCTTCTTTTAGGCCTCAGGTTCAGGTAGTTGGATAATTTTGAATGGAAAAAAAATGAAGAAAGAAAAACGTTACCTTGAGCTGGGAAGATGTATCCTGGTTACCATAAATCCTTTGAGCAATTCCACGGTTTTCATTGGATAGTCTCTTCAAGAAATCATAGTCGACATCAAATCCTATACCCAAACTGAACAAGGAGATATTGTCTTGTATGTTCTGCTTCACATTTTTCTGAATTTTTGACGACTTTAGTTCACCTGAAGTTGGTTATGAGAGAAAGGAAAAGAATAAAGAAGCAATGTCATGAAGGTTTTGGAAAATCCAGGGAGGAGAATTTAGCAGCATTTGTCAAAATTTAAAATATACTTACCTTTTGACCCAGTAATTCAACTTCTAGGAATTTTTCTGACAGATGCACTCATACATGTTGAAAGTACGGGGCAGTGGTACATAAAAACATTATTTGGGAATAGCAACATATTAGAAACTACTTATGACTTAAATGTATGCCAATAAGGGAGATTTCTTCGTTATTGTAATTCAAGTAGTGACATACTATGCAGTTATTAAAAAGAACAGCAACTGTTTATGCATTTATATTGAATAATTTCAAAGACACATTTTTTTTTTTTTTGAGAGAGATTTTTGCTATAGGGCACATATGCTTGCCAGAGAGACAGAGGGGTAGAAAGTGAGAAATCACCCTCTGGGGGATGGCCATGTCACAGTCCCTTCTCCTCTAGACTTTTCTTGGGACTTTGGGCATGCACGCACACACACCTGGCTTGAGTTTTAAGCTGCCAGGTCCAGGACTCAAATGGCAGTCAACTATTTGGGAGTCCAGTGATATAACCATTATACCATCTGCTGACCCATAAAGACATATTTTTAAAGGGAAAAAAATAACTGTGGTATATATTGGATGCATCTGAATGCATGCATGTATATATATGCATGTATGTCTGTATATGTATGCAAACATACACATGTGTGCAAATATATATGTATGGTACACAGGTATGCATGAACCACCCCTGGGAACATATACAAGAAACTGGTGACCAGTGGCTGCTTCCAGGGACAAGAAATGGATGGTTGAAAGACAGTAGGGCAGAAACAGACTTAAATTTTTACTATATTTTATTTATGATTTTATTCAAAACTTGAATTTTTAAAAGATCTATTTATTTATTTATTTATTTTGGAGAGGTTTTTGCTATAGGATGTGTGTACTCACCAGAAAGACAGAGAGAGACAGAAAGCAAGAAATCACCACCCACGGGGATGAACACACTGCAATCCCTTCTCCTCTATTCTCCTCTTGGGATCTTGAGCACGCACACACATGTACCTGGTGTGAGTTTAAGCCACTGGGTCCAGGACTTGAACCATGGTTGAGTACGTGGGAGTCCAGTGACATAGCCATTATGCCAGCTGCTGATCCCCTAAAGAACTATTTTACTTAACTTTATGTAGTTATTTTAATTGGACCAGAGAGGAACAGCACAGAAGAGAGCGAAAGTAAGAAAGCAAGCCGCCAGGTCTAGTTCTCAAACCATGGTTGACCATGTGGGAGTCCAGGGCCCTTAACCATCATACCACCTGCTGGCCCCCCCATGCTTGAATTTTAAAAGTAATCCGATTTGAGGGGAAAAACACTGACTTTATAACAAAAATATAACAACTACTAATCCTAGTGTTACTGGTAATAGAAAGGCCATGCTTCATCTTTGTAAAAGTCCAGTTGTCATTGTCATTATTGCTTCACACACTTTATTCTATGTAGCTATGCTACGCACAGGATACACATGGTTCTCGTCTATACAATGATACATGTGTGCAATCCAACCTAGCGTTCACTACTACTTATATTTGTCAGTATAAAGAAACAAATAAAAAAGAAATACAAGTAGATGATAGACATCAGATGAAGGCATTTGGGTGTTAGAAAAGGTTAATTTAAACGTCCTATCAGATTGCAGTCATTTCTCCTTTTGCAGCTAGGGGGAGAGTAACTGTGGCCACCGGAGGCAGTGCTGGGAGATCTGGGGTCCATACTCATTCCCAACTCCTGTACGCCATTCTCACACAGCTTAATTTGAAGAAATAAGTGCATTTCATTAGTATATGTCAACAATCTGCCCAAAATACTGTTAAAATTCGAAGTCAAATTTCTCTGTGTTGTGGGGTTGAAGCTGATGCATTTAAAAGTACTGCTGAGGAGTGAGGGCTGGTTTCAGGGCGCAAGGGCTTCAGTGTCAGAAGACTTCATTTAGGAAGCACGGGTTTAAAATTCCTTAGAAACTCAGGAATATGCCATTAGAGTTCCCCTTTTAAGCACACTATATTCCTAAGAAACACAAATGAACACTTACATGACAAGAAAACGGAAGTAATACTTGCCTACAGTTGGGTCCCCATCAGAGACCAGAATGATCAGAGAGACTGAGTTGGGGTCCAGCAATCCCATGTTATTAGCTTCGTTCAAAATGAAAATTGCACGCAAGAGAGCTTCGTTGATATTTGTGCCTGTCAAAGTAATACCATGATGTACTGTGGCATACACTTTCTTGCCACACACAAAAAAAGAATCACATTTGGGATTCAAGTTCATCTCTCTGGTGATTACTTATGCAGAATTTATTAAGTATCCAGGTCATTTGATTGCTTTCCAAGTGAAGCAAATTTTGTTCAGGTTGGTCAAGATCTCCAGCATGGTAAATGCTCACTTTGAAGTAAACTATCCACTTAGACATGAATTAGGCCTTTTGAAGCATCAATCAATCTGTCATTTTATTAAGCATAAAGTTTAAAGTACTTAAATCAGCCTTGCTGAGATCCTCTGAATACAATTCCATTTCATGCTATGCAAATAATAACAAAAGTGATTATCATTGACCGTGCCTTTTTTGGAGAAAGGTTGGACTGGTTTAAAACTTGTGCAGGCTGCATTATGTCTAGTTTCACCACAAACTTAGCATTCATCATTTACCAAGCAATGTCCGATGAAAGGCAGACCATTGGAAAGACCACTGTGACTGAGAAGAACACTTCTTAGGTGAATCAGAATTTGAAACCTAAAGAAGTTTCTCGCAGGGCATTAGGCCAAAACCACTCACCTCCATTGGGTTGGATTTTCTCAATATACTTCTTGGCATCTGCAACCTGTGCTTTGGTGGCTGAAACTAAATCATTCCTCCAGGTTCGAATGTTGTGGTTGAAATCAACCACAGAGAATTGGTCTTCTGCTCTTAGGTCATCCAATATGGTCTTCATTGCTTCCACAGTCTATTTCAAAAGAGCATGAAGAGAGCCTGAGAAGAAACTGGGAAGGTAAAAACAAACAGAAACAAAACAAAAAACAAACAAGAACAAGAAAACACCCAAACATTACACAGAAGAACCAAAAGAATGAGATGCAAACAAGTGGTCAAAATGAGAAGAGACTATACAGGCATAACATTTTCCAAAGAGGTTAGTTTTGAGATAGGTTTTCAAGGGATTACTGGACATAGAAGGGAAAAGAGAAGAAGAGGGAAGAGGAAGAAGAAAAAAGGGAGATGGAAAGGAGGGAATTTTGCAGGGGAGGGGTAATGGTTAGAAGGTTGAATTGTACAGTCTGTGAACACAGAATAACCTCACAATACTGGGAATTCACACCCTCAGTCTGCAAACACAGTTATGGAGTTTTAGCTCTACAGGGAAGGAGGTATTGAATGATGGCACTGCAGGGAGGGGATCACGGATGGTAGGGACAGGATCAAAGAATGGGGTACTTACTTGTTTCATTTTAATACCCCACATGGAGCCGCTAACATCAATGACGAAGAGGATGTTCTTGGGAATTGGGTCCAGGTTGTCAGGAGCAAAGAAGTGGACAAAATAGCCATTAAATACCTGAAAAAGTGAACATATCTGAGACCCATGTTTAGGGGGTAGGAAGATGGGGCCCTGGAACTAAGAGGGGAGGTGAGAAATGGTGAGGAGAAGGCACAGTGAAGCCTGGGGCATGTTCATCTTGACCTCCTTGCTCCCTTGCTCCTCTCCTGAGAAAGTCCCTGTTATCTCAGTAGGGCTTCCAATCCACTCCACTCTACTCTGCTTCACCCACACTTCTTCTTTTTTTTTTTTTTTAAGTTTTAATTTTTTTAGAGGTTTTTGCCTTAAGGTGCATGTGCTTGCTGGAGAGAGAGAAGGACACCAGTGAGAGGGAAAGTGAGAAATCACCCCCTGGGGGGATGGCCCCCCTTCTCGTCCATTCTTCTCCTGGGATCCTGGGCTGGCATGATTTTGAAGCCACTGGGTCTGGGACCCAAAGCACAGTCAACCATGTGGTAGTCTAGCAATGTAACCACTACACTATCTGCTAGTCTCCATGTACCCCCCCCCTTTTTTTTTTAGAGGTTTTTGCTATGGGGTGCGTGCACTCACCAGAAAGACAGAGAGAAACAGACAGAAAGTGAGAAATCACACCCCACCCCCAGGGGAGGATGGCCATGCCACAATCCCTTCTCCTCCATTCTCCTCTTGGGATCTTGGGCACGTAAGCCCATGCACCCGGTGTGAGTTTAAGGCACTGGGCCCAGGACTCAAACCGCGGTCGACTACATGGGAGTCCAGCGACATAGCCATTATGCCAACTGCTGGTCCCGCCATGCACTCTTTATTGAGGACCTCTGTTCCAGACACCCTGTTATCCTACAGTGAGTCAGTCAGCTTTTCTGCCCTCCTGAGGCTCACAGCTAGGAAGGATGCAGACCAGTAAAGAGGTAGTTTGCAGCACTGTAAAGTGCATGTCTAGGAAAGTAGAGTGTTCAGATAGTGTCCAGTGGAGATACATCTAAACAGAAGGTATTCTCCAAGGACACACATCTGCACAGAGACCTGAGGATGAGCTTGGAATTAGCCTGCAGATATGGGAGGTGGGTGGGGAGGGAGATAGGGTAGAGAGAGTGCCGAATAGTGCAGGTCAGGTGGTAAGAGAACATGGGACCCAAGGGGTGCTATCAGTGGTTCAGCACGGCAAGGCCATAGAATTCACAAATGCAAGAATTAAGGGGAGGAGAATTAGGAGGATGGAATGTGAAAGACCTTTATGTGCCACTTTGGAAAATTTGAATTTTTCTTGATGTTAATGTCAGACTACCGCAGTTCGATTCCTAACCCCTCACTTTGTCTTCCCTTGTAGGCTGCTTGCCTAATTCTCTTTCCACTGCCTTTTGGTTGCTTTTGTCCAGAACATAACAGTGTCAGCCTGTAAGGGTGTGTGGCTGGGCCCTTCTAGATACTTCTTCACTCCTTTCACAGGCTTTTTAACACACTCTAAAGGTTTTTACCTCAGCATAAGGGAAATGTTGGCACACATGACAAAAGAGAAAGAAAAATTTTTAAGAAATCTCATAATAGTGAACATTAACCCTAGAATTTACCATTGGCTCCAGGTTCTTTCTCTAGGCGTTGCTTGTGCCTTTCTCCTTGCCCTATAATTTATGTTTTGTTTTTGTTATTATTATTATTACAACAATCTTTGGGAGGTTATTCAAAATTCCCACTTTGCAATTTCCTATTATTCTTCATATGAGGTCTAGAAGTGCCCTATAGGACCCTTAATTTAGTTTTCATGACAAAAATATAATGCTTTCTGGCATATGAGGGCGGTCTTCAAAAATGAATGGAAAATGTGTATTATAAAAAAAAACTATATATAAACATTAAAATCGTTTTGCATCAAAATAAACTCATACTTTAATTATATATTTTCCATGGATATTTTAAAGCCCCCTCACGTTAGAGAAATACATTTCAGTCCTTTTTCTGTGGCTTTGACACTTGCCTCAGCAACTGTTACAGAGAACTATCTACAGGCCAGGGAGAGTGTTCAGTAAGAAATAGTTATTGGGTCTCAGCATGGTAGTCCGGGTGTACCTACCTCAAGCTCACCAGCCTTCTCTTCCCTGTTCACGTCATACATCACCACCAGCTCTCCATCCACGGCAGTGTCAGAGCAGTTGGAACACTTCCTTTGCTGTGCTACTGTGGGCTTGAAGGAGACATGTGCCTGGAAGGAACGGGGACCTCAGAGCCTTGTCTGGGCGCCATCCCTCCCCCAGACGAGAGCTCCGTAGCTGCACCTGCTTGAGCACACAGGTGAAGAGGTGTTGCCCCAGTGGCCGTTCTACATCTGGTCAGTGTCAGTAGGCCTGTTACTTATGGAATGCTTGTTTCAGAGGATTTGAGAGCATCTCCCAAATTATGGAGCTGTTTGCCAACTTTTAGGCCTTTAAAAAAAAAATCAAAGAATTCTCCCATCTCCCGTGGAAGGAATGGTTGCAAGCACAGGCAAAAGTTTATGAAAAGTCCATAGAAGAGTTTGACCTTTTCATAGTTGGTTTTTATTGGCCATGAAGGCACAGAGAATGAAGCTGGGTATTTCTTGCTGTGGTTACTGAAAGTCTACCATATATTATGTGAAAGCTGCCTTTAGGTACTGTTCAATCAGAAGACTTGAGGGAAGTGAGATTCCAAAGAGAGCAGTTTCTGGTCAAAATGAATGAGTCAATTGTATGTTTTTTTATATCCTGTGGAAGACCCTAGACTCTGTTCAGGGACCACTCTTCCTTCACAAAGTGTCCTTGACACAAGACCACATCACTTTTCTATTTCAGAGCACAGGAGGAGAACAAAACCCCGAGCTAGTGGCTATGTAGACACTTGACAAAGCGAAAGACTTAGGGTACCTTCTGCTGTCCTTTAGATATGACTGGAACACCATCGAAATGGCCTTCAAATGTGTCAGGAACATGAAGAAATCTCATGCCTTGAGGTTCAATAATCCACACATCTACCTAGAGATGGGAGAGAAAATTACCCAAAGCATTAGAAGTCTTTGAAGGCTTTTTAAGCAAGAAGTAAAATTACTAAGTCTTCTGATTCTTTTCTCATCTACAGATGTCCAAAATATGGTTTCATGATCATATCTGCAAGTTCTTTAATTTCCCTGTTATAGGCCCAGCTCAATGGCCTGGTGATTAGGCACCTAGATCCCTCCCACATGGCTGGCCATGAGGTTTGAGTCCCAGACCTAGCAGCTTGAGAAAATGCCGGGTGCACGTGTGTGTACACAAAGTCTCAAAACAAAGGAGAAAAGAGAAGAGATTATGGTGCAACCATTCCCTATGGGGGAGAAGGGTGCTTTCTCCTTTCCCTATCTCTGTCTCTCTCTGGTGAGTGCATGCTCCCCCTCACAAATAAATAAATACATAAATACATTTCCTAAGAAATAAATGTATTTCCATCTTGCCATGGAGATTTAACTCTTTGGCAACTTAGTACTGCCCTTCTATTGCCTCATCCCTTTGGGATTTAATTCTCCTTCATTCTAGTCTACTCTTTATTTGTCACAGCATTCATGTGTTAGCAAAAAAAAGGAGAGCCATTGTTAATTCCTCTGCATTTACTTTGTAGATCTGTCAGAAATAAGTATTTTTTCTCTCATCTCAGACCTTTTTATTTCTTTTCCTATTTTCTTGTTTTGAACACAGCTCCACAAGATGAAATACCTTCTGGTGCTTAATAAAACAATACCCATAGCTACCATTTCTTGTGATGCTTATATATATATATATTTTTTTTTTTTTGAGAGGTGCTTGCTATAGGGCACGTGCGCTCGCCAGAAAGACAGACAGAAAGCGAGAAATCACCACCTGGGGGGATGGTCATGCCGCAATCTCTTCTCCTCCATTCTCCTCTTGGAATCTTGGGCACGCATGCATATGCACCTGGCGTGAGTTTAAGCCACTGGGTCCGGGATCGAACCATGGTTGACTACATGGGAGTCCAGTGACATAGCCATTATGCCAACTGCTGGTCTTGATGCTTACTATATTTTAAGTATATACAAATTAATGGATTTTATTTTCACTCATATTATTAACATGATCTGTTTTTTTTTTTTTTTTATAATTTACTTAGAGAAATTTTTGCTATAGGACCTGTGCACTTGCAGGAAAAACAGGAAGAGAGAGACAGAAAGAGAGAAAGTGAGAAATTACCCCCCAGGGGGATGGTCATGTCACAGTCCCTTCTCTTCCGTTCTTCTATTGGGATTTTGAGCATGCACATATATGCACCCTGTGTAAGTTTCAAGGTTCTGGGCCTGCGAATTGAACCACAGTTGGACATGTGGAAGTCTAGCACCTTACCCACTATGCCACCTGCTGGCCCCATGTTATTTCTTTTTTAATAGATATTGTAACCATGTGTTTTATTTTCCATCCACAGAATAGATGACCATGAATTAATTTCTAGGGTTTTCTTTTTTCTTTTTTGGTTTTAGCCTTAGGGTTTATGTGCTCACTGAGGAGAGAGATACACAGACAGTGAGAGGGAAAGTGAGAAATAAACCACTGGAAGGATGGACATGCCACAATCCCTTCTCTGTTCTTCTCTTGGGATCCTGGGTGTGCACACACATGTGCCCAACATGATTTCCAAGCCACCAGGTATGGGACTCAAACCACAGTCGGCCATGTGGGAGTCCAGAGATGTAACTGCTACACCATCTGCTGGCCCAGTTTTATTCTATTCCGTATTAATAATTGTACCTATTTATAGGCCACAGTGTGACGCTTTTACATAATATACATTGTATAATGATCAAATCATGGTATTTAGCATATCTGTCACTTCAAATATTTATCATTTATTTGTCGTGATAATATTTGAATCCTTTTTTGTAGTTATTTTGAAACATACACTGCAATATTGTTAACTATATTCACTCTACTGTGCTATAGAACACTAGAACTTATTTCTTATATTTAACTGTAATTTGTACCTATTGACCAACTTTCATTTATCCTCCCTCTTATTCTCTCCCCAGCTCTGGTAACCACTATTCTGCTCTTTACTTCAATGAGATCAGCTTTTTTAGACTCTACAGATAAGTAAGATCACGAAGTATTCATCTTCCTGTGCCTCAGGGATGCAAGGATATTTAACATGCACAAATCAAAAAATGTGGTTCATTGCATTGACAGTGGCAAGGGGAAAAATGATCATTTCAATAAATACAGAAAAAGCCTCTGATAAAGTTCAACATTCCTGCATGATAAACACTCTCAACAAATTAGGGATAGAAGGAATGTACCTGGACTAAGTAAAGGCCATATATGACGAACCCTCAACTAACATCATACCAATTGGGGAAAAATTGAAAGCTTTTCTTCTAAGAACTGGAACAAAACAAAGGTGCCCACTTTTACCACTTATATTCAACATAGTAGTGGAAGTCCTAGCCAAAGCAATTAGGCAAGAGAAAGAAATCAATGGCATCTAAATTGACAAGCAGAGTGTTGAATTGTCCTTGTTGGCTGATGACATGACTACTTATATGAAAAACCTAAAGGCACTATATATATTAGAAGTGGCCCAGAATAAACTCAATAGCACATACCATAATAGTAAACTGATGCCAGATATTAGACATTATCAAGCGTATGTGCAGCTCTTCAAGTTGGAATTAAAATTTAACCATGATTAATTCAACCCTTTCATTTTCTAAATCTACAAGCATTTCATGACCTGCTTGCTTCACTTTCCCATCTGTCCAATGGAGAGGCTCAGTAGACTGTGTATTCTCCCCTGTTTCTTCTGGCTTTACTCTGTCTCTTCTATTATGTTCACTTAATGTCACCCAGAATCAAGTAAAGAAAAGATCAATTGTTTTAACGCAAGAGATGAAAATGGCAGTAAAAGTGATTTCAGATTGATAGACAAAGCAATCAATACCAAAGGTTTAGTTCTGCCGAAGGGACAATTTCAAGGTGACAGGGAAATTAACCTTCTATTACTTGCTATCTGTTTCATAAGTTTATGTCACTTATAACAAAGGTACAAAAGCATATAAAAGTACTCTATTTACAGGTGACAAAATAGGGACTCAGGATAACAAGTCCTTGAATATCAGTGTCATTGGCTGAATGATGGCCTCACAAGAGATCTGAGAAGTCTTCAAAAATTTAAAGAAAACTGTATATTATGTAAAACTGCATGGATTTTAAAATTGTTTTGCAACAAAATAAACTTACTTTATTCTATTTTTACACAAGATTTTTGGAGTCCCCTCAAAAGATATGTCTATATCAATCTTCTAGAAGCTGTGAATGTGAATTTACTTGAAAAAAAGATCTTTGCAAATGCAATTAAAGTTAAAGATCTTTTTTTTGGGGGGGGAGGAAGAGGTTTTTGCTGTAGGACATATGCGCTCGCCAGAAAGACAGAGAGAGACAGAGAGACAGAAAGAGAGAAATCATCCTCCGGGGGGGATGGCCATGCCACAATCCCTTCTCCTCCATTCTTGTCTTGGGATCTTGGGCACTCATGCACACGTGCCCGGCGTGAGTTTTAAGCCACCAGGTCTGGGACGCAAACCGTGGTTGACTACATGGGAGTCCAGCAACATAGCCATTACGCCAACTGCTGGTCCCCAAGTTAAGGATCTTGAAATAAGATCATCCTGCATTACCTGGTGGGCCTAAGTCCGGTTGCAAGTGTTCTTATAAGAGAAAGGCAGAGGGACATTTGAGATGCTCAGAAAAGGAGATGATGTGACCATGGAGAAAGTGGCATGATATGGCTAGAAAACCGCAAGTTATGGAAGGCCAGCAGCTGCCAGGCTCCAGAGGGAGTAAAGCACAGACTCTTACAGACATTAGAGGGAGTGTACTTTTGCTGACACCTTGATTCAGACTTCTGTTCTCCAGGACCATGAGAGACAACCATAAATTTCTGTTGTTTCAAGCTTGCAGTTTATAATAAATTGTTATAGCAGCCCTAGAAAACAAATACAGCTAACATGGACCTAGATTGGCATTTAAATCCTTAAGGAAGTGATGTAGTTGACTCCAAACCTAAGTCTTTTTCAGTTATCGCACTGTCTTATAGAGCTGAGTGATATAAAATACCACTAATAGTAATAACAAACAGAAAGTAGAAGCAGGGATAAGAATGGTAAGAAGATGATATTTCTCTTTACCCTACAAACCCATGCTCACCTCCAAGTGTTTGGCCAGCCGTCCAGGCTGCAGATGAAGCCTGTGTTCATAGGATCCCAGCTTCCTCCATTTCACTTCCTGGTACTGAAGCTCAAACTGGACCTTTACTCCAGGGAGGATGTTTACTTCTGTTCTGAAGTTCTCCATATCCAGAGCCTTGCTCCTAAAGGCGAGAGCTCCCGACATAAGTCATCACAGGCATGAATGACCTGCGAGACCCATAATCTAAGCAGGGGGCATGTAGAAGTTCCTGGGTGATCTCCCCTGCTTAGCTGTTCATGAACATGAACAGTAGATGCGACAGAGATAAGGGCAATTTCTGAATAAATTTAATATCACCAAGAGTGCCAGTCTCCTCTCCTACCTGATATATTGTTTGCAGAGCTTCATACTGATTTGAGTGTCATCTGCAAAAAACTACTCGTGATTGGTCCCTATTCCGTCCAGGAACTTGACATCTATCATCTCAATATACCAGCTCTATGAGTTGGATATCATTATCCTAATTTTTCATGTAATAACAAGTCAGTTTCATAGAGGCTGAATAACCTACTCGAGACTCCATGGTTAGTCAATTTCAGGACCAGGATTGAAACCCAAGTTTAGATAACTCGAAAGAGAGCACATATTTTCTATACTATGTTTGAGACTCATTCTATAGAGTCTTTATATATTTGAAGGTCTTCATAAAGAATAAATCTATTATTTCACAAAATCAAATATGTATTTCCAGTGTAAGGTCTTTTTTAGTCACAATCCCTATCAATTCTAATATGATCATTAATCTTGAGTTATAGCTTTTTTAAAAAATTATGTATTTAATTTTATTAATTATTACTATTGGTGTTTTTAGTTTTCAAGAGAGAAGAGCAAGATGATTAAAGGAGGGGATCCTGGCATTAGGATAAACAAATGAATGATAAATAATTTTTTGAGATGAGTATTTATAACAGTTTTATTTGCAACAAGAAAAACTGGTACTATTCCAACAATGAATGATTTTTTAAAATGAAATGCTAAATAAGCAAGGTGACCGTGTGCCTTATCCTTTTTGGGATCGTGGAAGTATTGTGGACAGTCAGCTTGGGATATTGACTAGTTAAAGAAAATGTAAACCTGGCCCAGTGCAAAGGTGAGAGTCAGGGAGAGGTCATGTTAACTGAGGGGTGGACTGCGATGTGAGGTCATGTTCTCTGCTGTATCTCTGCTGCCTGGAAGAGTTTCTGTTACAGATAAATATCTGTGGGATAAATAAATGAGTACATGAATGTGATGTGATCAAAACGATGTGTAAAGATGGCAAAGTGATCGTAGAGATTAAAGAATGGATTAACTTGCAGCAATGCTGGAGGTGAAATTCTTCTGCTTGGAATTGCTTTTTTCCTTTCTTCACCTGACTGAATTCTATTAATCTTTGGGGGCTCAGCTCAAACATCAGTCCTCTGTGAAGGTTTCCTGGGTCCCAGACAAAATTATGCACTTGGGACTCAGAACTCCTGTAAGGATTTGTACCCTCTCTAAGTTAGCCCTGACCCTGCTGCAGACATTGTAGTCACCAGTTCTTCATCTTTCATGAAAACCTGCTAGTGCCTATTTTTGTGTTGCTGCTGCCTCCAACAGAACTGGATACAGAGTGGACATCTATTGCATTTTATTGAATAAAGGAATGCATGAATAAAATGTAAAGAACTTCCAACTAAAGGTAAGTTGGAAGACAGAATGAAGAGATGAAGCAATTAAACATGCAGGATCCGGCAGAAGTTTGAGGGTATGCAGCATACAGAGTGATAAATTAAAACTTCCTTTGAAGCTTCTTGGTTGAAAGACTCCTTTTTTAAAGAGTGGTTTGGCATTTCCAGTGTCTATTTAAAAATTATAGCAGGAAAAATATTAAACAGAATTTAAGCTAAGTAACTGATGCTTACAAGGACTTATCCCATAAAAGTATGGCAGAATAAATCATTAAAACAAATTCCAAATCTTTCCTTCTGTGTATATAGTTAAGTATTGTAATAGGATCAGTAATATTTTAATAAAATTGGTATTTATTTAAAGAACATCTATCTAGCTGTGAGACAAGCAGTGCAAGCGTAACCTGTGAGGTTAGCTATATCCTGATTGAAGAGAGGCCTTCAGGGAAATAGAAACTGATACCAAATAATGCCATCTGCTTGGGTTCTGTGCCTTTCTGGAGGCTGGCTTGCCACTGGGAAAATAGGGTAGGACAGGAAGCAGTGATGGGGATAAGTAAACTCAGTCCCTACCTCACCAATCCAGCCGTCTTGCCTTTTGCTCTTGCCTGCGAATAGAGAGCTCGGCCCACAGTTCTCTCTTTGATGGAGCTAGTAAATGTTGTGCCATCTACAGTCCTAGAAAACAACCCAAGATAAGCAGTTGGTCAGAAGAGGAGTCTTAGTGAAACGAACTAATGACAAGCAAACAACACAACAAGATATATTTAATGAATGGGGACAACGACCATCGTGCATCTGTAAGAAACAAAAAGAGACATTTGAAGAGTTCATAGACAGGGCAGTTTTTGTTTGACACTGTGATTTGAGAGGTCTAGGTAGGCTCCCATTCTTAAAATTTTCACTCATGTTTGCTTGTGTTTGAATATTTTTCTCATTTTCAAATGTTATGCTTCAGATTACATTTTGTTCTCTTTGGATATCCCTTTTGAATGACAAATGTGATTAGGAGGAGTGAGCAATAAATCACCAATTATTTGAGGATAATTAGTGAATTTGGTGGTGACATGGTGGTTAAGGCTCTGAATTCCCACATGGCCAACTGTAGTTTGAGTCCTGGAACCGGCAGCTTGAAAACTATGCCGGACATGTATGCTTGTGAGCCCAAAATCCTAAGAGGAGAATGGAGAAGGGATTGTGGCTTGGCCATCACTCTTAAAAAGTGGGGGTTTGATTTCTCACTTTCCCTTTCTCTCTCTTTGGCAAGTACATGTGCTCTATAGTTAAAACTTAAAAAAAAAAAAAAAAAAAAAAAGAAAAGAAAAGAAAAAGAAGAATGTGGCATAGCCAGGGGATGTGCAATAAAGTGAATGTTTGTGTTCTAACAACACTCATGTGCTAACTCCTACATCTTAGAAAGTGGCTCCTTTGGGAAGTGACGGGGTCATAAGGATGAATCCCTCATCAGTGGTATTAGTGCCCTTATAAAAGTGATTCCAAAGATCTCTCTTGTTCCTTTCTGCTATGCCTCTAGACCAGGAGGCTGGCTTTCACCAGACACTGAATCTTCTTCTGCATCTTGATCTTGAACTTCTCAGTCTCTAGAATTATAAGAAGTAAGTTTTTGTTGCTAATAAGCTAGCCAGTCTATGGTGTTTTGTTATAGCAGCCTGAGCTGACAGAGACAGGATGTTATGTTCTTCTGAAAGAGTGAAAAAGAAAGAAAGATGGAGGAAAGTGCTGAATCCCCTTGTGAAGTTTATGTTCATCTCTATAACTTCTCCCTTGCGGAGTGCTGTCTTCTTTTTGCATCTTGCCCTTACCTTACTTTTAGCTGGCTAGAACCTAACCTTTACCAGGCATTGGTCAGAGCAGAATTATCGAATTTTACAAAGAAATGGGAATTTACAGTACTCTCATGGGCTGTATCCCTTCCAAGGAAGAATTTAGAAATGTGTGGAAGAGTTTTTGGTTGTTGTGATGACTGGGAAGTGCTAGTGGCATTTGTGGGAAGGACACCACAAATATGCGACATGCTATGATGAGGGACAGATCTGCTAAAGAATGTTCCTGGTTCAAATGCCAGTGCATGTATATTGAGGTACGCTTCTAGGTTTGCCCCGTTTAGATGAGAAATATCAGGTCCAAGGAGATAAATGACTTGCTCAAGGACACTTAGCCAGTAGAAACAGAGATAGACTGCAAGTTCATGTGTCAGACTAGGGCTCGCTCCAGCAAATCCACCCAGGCCAAAGACCAAGAAGTCTTTAAGACAAAAAGAAATAATCTCAGGGACCAGCAGTTAGCATAATGGCTATGTCTCTGAACTCCCATGTAGCCGACCATGGTTCAAGTCCCAGACCTGGTAGCTTAAACTCACGCCAGGCGCGTGTGCGTGCGTGCCCAAGAGCCCGAGAGGAGAATGGAGGAAAAGGAATTGCAGTGTGACCTTCCCCCATGGTCTCTCTGTCTCTCTGTCTCTCTCTGTCTTTCTGGCGAGTGCATGCGCCCTGCCCTATAGCAAAAACCTCTACACCAAAGAAAACCAAAAAGAAATAATCTCCTATGGTAGAACATTTGGGATCTTGATAAAAAGTCAGAAGAAATATTTTGGCTAGTATGGAAATCTACACAGCTTATTTAATTAATTAATTAACTTATTTATTTAATTTATATTTTAAAAATTTGCTATAGGGTGTATGAGCTCACCAGAGAAACAGAGTGAGAGAGAAAGTGAGAAAGCACCACCCTGGAGGGGACAGCCATGCCATAATCCCTTCTCTTTATTCTTCTGGGATTTTGGGCATGCATGCACACACGCCCTGCATATTTTTCAAACCACTGAGTCCAGGATTAGAAGTGCTTAGTTGGCTATGTGGGATCCAGCTGTTGTAAGCACCACACCACTGGCTGGCCCATAGGCAGCTCATTCAAAACAGTGATAATTAAGCAACTATAGTCTCTGGTATTATGCATGTAGCATTTCATAGAGGGAGATCAAAATAAATATATGTTTCATGTTTTTGCCTTTTGCCACTTTGAACCTTTTATGGAATGAGATGAAGAAGAAAGGATAAAGTGGGGACTGGCAGATGGCATGGTGGTTAAGGATGCTGGACTCCCACATGGCTGACCATGGGTCGAGTCCCAGACCTGGCAGCTTGCTTTGTCACTTTCCCTCTCTCTCTCATTCTGTCCCTCTCTGGTCAAATTTAAGTAAGTAAGTAAGTAAGTAAATAAATAAATAAATAAATGGTACTGCAACTGTGTACAGGAAATTTAAAAAAAAAAGAAGAAAGGATAAAGTAAAAATAGAAGTCCTAGAATAAGTTCAGATTATGTGGTTTAAAAATAGGAATTTATTAAAAGTTTTAAATGTAATCTCTAGACATTATATTATATAACTGCTTCATAGAAGCATTTCCTTATTTATTTTCTTTTTATAAAAGGCTGACTAAAAATAATAAATAAGTAAATAAATAAATAAGCAAATAAATGTTTAAGCCGTTTCCAAGTTACATAGTGTGACTTCCTACTGCCTTTGTTTTGTTTAGAAAATATAGTTAAATGGCTTTCTAATTTTTAGCAAAGTGCATAGTAATTAAACCCTTTATTTTATTTATTTATGGGCAATTATTATTGATTACCTTGGTATGTAAAAGACAAAAGCTCATCAGTAGTACATTAACATAACATCTTAAAAAATTTGTCAGAACATCTACAGAGTATTTCAGTCTGTTCTAGGCAGATATTGAACTAAAAGGGACATTGACCAACTGAGGCACACTTAGGAGTCTGGGAATGGCCACCTGAATGCTCAGGGGATAGAAAACCATCCCAATGACTCAGAGGAGCAGGTAGGAGCTAGCTTTGACATGCAAAGCCTTCAAGTGGGCAATGTAACTAGACTTCACTATTTGAAAGATACTGAAATAGTTTTACCTTTTTATTATGGAAATTTTCAAACATACAAAAAGTAGAGAGAATAATATGAGAAACCTCCATGAAACCATCACTGAGCGACACCATTATCAATTCTCAGCCAGTCTTAATTCTTGTATACTCTCATGCTTTCCACCTCAATTATTTTGAAGCCAATCTCAGACAGCATATCATTTCATCCATGAACACTTCAATATGTATTTTGTAGAGAACTTTCTTTTTTAAAAATTCGATGTGAGTAGAACTAGATTCACGGGGTAGAAAATGGAAAATATTTAAATTAAGTATAAGAAATAATTCTAACAGAGCTGTCAGCCATTGAGTGGGTTGCCTTGGGAAGTAGTAAGTTTATCATTAAGGAGATACTCAAATCAAGCCCGGATAACCCACTTGTCAGTGATATAATGGAGGAATTCAAGCATTTGGATAAGTGATTGGATTTAATCAGTGGTTCTCAACTGTTTTGCTTTCATGGAGAAATGCATTGCCGATGACACCGACCTGCTGCACATACACTCATATGTGGTTTCCTGTAAGCCATGGCAACTCCATATATTTTTGTCCCCCCAAAAAAGAACAGTAAAATGCAAGTAAGTGGGAGATTATTATCATAGAGATAGCCTTAAGTTTGATTAGAAACCAAAAGCAAATCCTTATCAAATTCCCTTACTTTGAACAGACACAGATAATTGGCACCCGCCCTACAGGATTACTGGCATCCAGTTGGTTCTCAGCTCAGGAAGAGAGAATCACTAGAGCAGATGACCATCAAGGTCCATTCTTTCTTTCTTTTTTCTTTTTAAGGAATTATTTTATTTAATGTTCTTTATGATTGTCACTATTACTTTTTAATTTGATGAGAGAGCGAGAGAGAAAGTGAGAAAGCAAGCCACCAGGTCCAAGACTTGAATCGCAGTTGGCCAAATGGGAGTCCAGTGCCTTAATCCCTACACCTCCTGCTGTCTCTCAAGGTCCATTCTAATTAGGAGGGCTCTAATTAGGAAGGTTCTCGATTCTTTGAGTAGAGTATACTCAATTTCTGATTCTATGTAGGAGTTACTCACATGGAGAAGTTGGAAATGAAGGCTCCTTTGGGAATCTGAACATCAAATACAACATTCTGAGGTTGCGGGGAGTTGTTCACCAACTTGCTTTGGATGATGGTGTTGGCCATGCGAGAAGTAATTGTGGACTGGACTTTATAGCTATAAAGAGTTACTTGATCAACATCTTCCTGAAATTGGTAAGAAGGCATAACTGTACTCATAGAAAAGTTACAACAACTACTACACATTTCCTGTTAACAGAAGTATACTTTACTTGCAAATTCTAGGACATTGGTAAGTGTATACGCAGGTATTACTGAGTATCCTCCCAACTTCTCAAGATACCCTACAGGTGGAAGTCTGCCTTTGTTTTGAGATCTCTTGATATGCCGTTTAGTTCTCCGAGTCTAGTAATAATAATTTCAAAAATTAGAGCCTAAGTAGAAAATGGTTGTGAGAAGCAAGTCTGGACTGAGAAAGTCCAAGAGGGTAACTTCAAATGCATGATCATGACAAGGGAATGGGTGCAGAAGTGCAGAGTTGGGAGGGGACACTGGCTGCAGTTTCAGAGTGGGGTGCAGTCATCGGCATAGTGGAGTGAAAGCACCATGGGGTCCTCCACAAGCCCTGACTGCCCCCTATCTCATCTGTTAGGATTTTATCCTCAGTCCTCTTCTCCTTTCTCAGATCATAATAAGCTATGAGAATGCTAATGGGCATGGGCAACAAATAGAACATTCTGGAGAGAATATTTTGCTGCAATTATTTATTCAACACTTTGGACCTTCTTTCTTGATCTTTCTCTGCTGATTCTCTTCTCCACCCCACTATAAAAAGTCATGGTGTGTCAGTATGCTCAAGGCAAAGTTCTGAAAACACAAGTCTCTAAGAGCTGCAAGCTTCTTCAGGTTTACGGCAATTAGATGGCATATTAGATTTTTTTTTCCTCTGAAGAGATTTGTTTAATTTATTCATTGATTGATTTGTTTTAATGCTACAGAGCACATGCATGTGAGCTTGCATGAGACATAAAGAGAGAGAAAGTGAGAGAAACAGAGACAGACGTTCTCAATAGGGTCTCTCCCATCATACTATCTTGTCATGCTGTGATCCCTTTCCCCCAGCCCTCTAGCCTCTCAGCATCCTGGGTGCCCACATGTGCACTTGGTGTATTTCAAGTCAGCCTGGGGACCTAAACTCGTGATTGGCTATGTGGCTTCCAGCCTTGCAGGGACCAGGTTACCACTGGGTCACAGCAGTGGGTCCAGATTTGCTTATTTTAATACAAGGTGTCATCCCCCAAACTTTGTCATTCAGGATTAAACTTTTCAACTAGTTAACACCCAGCTCACCTCAAGTTAATAAAGCCAGACTAATTTGCCCTTCCTCCTCTTTAAATGTGTGCTTCAGGTAGTTTCTATCAGTTCAGAGCAGGAAATACAATATAAGCCTCTTCCTTTGGTTGTTTTCTTGCCACAGAAACAATTACTTTGAATATTTCTGAAAACTGGACCAGTTTATGTTTGAGTTCCTTTTTCAAAGCCACTCTGAGTCTCCAAAACTGCTGGGTGTCATACTTAAAATACTTAAAGTCAAGATAACTACATAAATACATATGGCTGGATAAAAACCCACGCTATTGGAAAAACTTGCAAAAACAAAGAGAAAGGACATTTTTGGCTCTTGGTGGCATCTCTTCTGTCTGCGAATACTGGATTCTTTAGTGCCAAATTAAAAAAAAAAAAAAAACACTTCCAGATAATTGGGCAATGAGGTGTTTCGAAAGTTAGGCAAATACTCTCAGTGACGAAGACTAAGGAGACATCCAGATTGATTCCCAGGTAATAGTTAACAGGAAAATCATTCAGACAGCAATCTGTAACAAAACCAGAGTAAACTTACCATTATTTCTCCCGATTCTCCAGGAACACTTCTCTGTGAAAAGAAGTTAGATAATCATTCTTCAACTGTATGTTAACTTATTATCTTGAGGGCAAAAACTGTTTTCTCTCAGGCAGAAGAAATCTATTTTTCTTCAATATTGAGCTGTAATTCATTCATTGTAGCCGAGATATAAATATTGAATCTTCTTGAAAACTATTTTCCCACTGGTAAGTTTTTCTGAACAAGTGATTTTTTTTGTCTCTTGTATACTATTCTTTGATATAATGTAAAAACAAATATTTTAGAATGACGATGTTCAGCCTAACGCATACTAAGAGGCATATATCCCCTTCACTCCATTTTTCTATTTTATTTTTATTCTGTTGAATGGGATTTGGATGCTCGATTTGGCCACAAGGCTCTAAATACACGGTTCCTACTGGGTGAAATGCCAGAATCACTAGAGCAGATGACCATCAAGGTCCATTCTTTCTTTCTTTTTTCTTTTTAAGGAATTATTTTATTTAATGTTCTTTATGATTGTCACTATTACTTTTTAATTTGATGAGAGAGCGAGAGAGAAAGTGAGAAAGCAAGCCACCAGGTCCAAGACTTGAATCGCAGTTGGCCAAATGGGAGTCCAGTGCCTTAATCCCTACACCTCCTGCTGTCTCTCAAGGTCCATTCTAATTAGGAGGGCTCTAATTAGGAAGGTTCTCGATTCTTTGAGTAGAGTATACTCAATTTCTGATTCTATGTAGGAGTTACTCACATGGAGAAGTTGGAAATGAAGGCTCCTTTGGGAATCTGAACATCAAATACAACATTCTGAGGTTGCGGGGAGTTGTTCACCAACTTGCTTTGGATGATGGTGTTGGCCATGCGAGAAGTAATTGTGGACTGGACTTTATAGCTATAAAGAGTTACTTGATCAACATCTTCCTGAAATTGGTAAGAAGGCATAACTGTACTCATAGAAAAGTTACAACAACTACTACACATTTCCTGTTAACAGAAGTATACTTTACTTGCAAATTCTAGGACATTGGTAAGTGTATACGCAGGTATTACTGAGTATCCTCCCAACTTCTCAAGATACCCTACAGGTGGAAGTCTGCCTTTGTTTTGAGATCTCTTGATATGCCGTTTAGTTCTCCGAGTCTAGTAATAATAATTTCAAAAATTAGAGCCTAAGTAGAAAATGGTTGTGAGAAGCAAGTCTGGACTGAGAAAGTCCAAGAGGGTAACTTCAAATGCATGATCATGACAAGGGAATGGGTGCAGAAGTGCAGAGTTGGGAGGGGACACTGGCTGCAGTTTCAGAGTGGGGTGCAGTCATCGGCATAGTGGAGTGAAAGCACCATGGGGTCCTCCACAAGCCCTGACTGCCCCCTATCTCATCTGTTAGGATTTTATCCTCAGTCCTCTTCTCCTTTCTCAGATCATAATAAGCTATGAGAATGCTAATGGGCATGGGCAACAAATAGAACATTCTGGAGAGAATATTTTGCTGCAATTATTTATTCAACACTTTGGACCTTCTTTCTTGATCTTTCTCTGCTGATTCTCTTCTCCACCCCACTATAAAAAGTCATGGTGTGTCAGTATGCTCAAGGCAAAGTTCTGAAAACACAAGTCTCTAAGAGCTGCAAGCTTCTTCAGGTTTACGGCAATTAGATGGCATATTAGATTTTTTTTTCCTCTGAAGAGATTTGTTTAATTTATTCATTGATTGATTTGTTTTAATGCTACAGAGCACATGCATGTGAGCTTGCATGAGACATAAAGAGAGAGAAAGTGAGAGAAACAGAGACAGACGTTCTCAATAGGGTCTCTCCCATCATACTATCTTGTCATGCTGTGATCCCTTTCCCCCAGCCCTCTAGCCTCTCAGCATCCTGGGTGCCCACATGTGCACTTGGTGTATTTCAAGTCAGCCTGGGGACCTAAACTCGTGATTGGCTATGTGGCTTCCAGCCTTGCAGGGACCAGGTTACCACTGGGTCACAGCAGTGGGTCCAGATTTGCTTATTTTAATACAAGGTGTCATCCCCCAAACTTTGTCATTCAGGATTAAACTTTTCAACTAGTTAACACCCAGCTCACCTCAAGTTAATAAAGCCAGACTAATTTGCCCTTCCTCCTCTTTAAATGTGTGCTTCAGGTAGTTTCTATCAGTTCAGAGCAGGAAATACAATATAAGCCTCTTCCTTTGGTTGTTTTCTTGCCACAGAAACAATTACTTTGAATATTTCTGAAAACTGGACCAGTTTATGTTTGAGTTCCTTTTTCAAAGCCACTCTGAGTCTCCAAAACTGCTGGGTGTCATACTTAAAATACTTAAAGTCAAGATAACTACATAAATACATATGGCTGGATAAAAACCCACGCTATTGGAAAAACTTGCAAAAACAAAGAGAAAGGACATTTTTGGCTCTTGGTGGCATCTCTTCTGTCTGCGAATACTGGATTCTTTAGTGCCAAATTAAAAAAAAAAAAAAAACACTTCCAGATAATTGGGCAATGAGGTGTTTCGAAAGTTAGGCAAATACTCTCAGTGACGAAGACTAAGGAGACATCCAGATTGATTCCCAGGTAATAGTTAACAGGAAAAATAATTCAGACAGCAATCTGTAACAAAACCAGAGTAAACTTACCATTATTTCTCCCGATTCTCCAGGAACACTTCTCTGTGAAAAGAAGTTAGATAATCATTCTTCAACTGTATGTTAACTTATTATCTTGAGGGCAAAAACTGTTTTCTCTCAGGCAGAAGAAATCTATTTTTCTTCAATATTGAGCTGTAATTCATTCATTGTAGCCGAGATATAAATATTGAATCTTCTTGAAAACTATTTTCCCACTGGTAAGTTTTTCTGAACAAGTGATTTTTTTTGTCTCTTGTATACTATTCTTTGATATAATGTAAAAACAAATATTTTAGAATGACGATGTTCAGCCTAACGCATACTAAGAGGCATATATCCCCTTCACTCCATTTTTCTATTTTATTTTTATTCTGTTGAATGGGATTTGGATGCTCGATTTGGCCACAAGGCTCTAAATACACGGTTCCTACTGGGTGAAATGCCTGATCCTTTCCTGCCTGATCCCTTCTGTCTCTACTCCTGTGTAGCCAACTCCTTTCATCTTTTGGATCTCAGCTCCAGTAGAATTTCCAGAGGGGAGATTCTCTGACTTGGGCCAGTCCTATAGCTAAATGGTCAAATGCTTTCAGAGCTGGATCTCACATGGGAGACTGAGGTTCAAATTCTGACCCTGCTGACTTAAAAAACACCTTGGGCATGTCCTTTCCTAATGGGAAGGAGAAATGGAGGAAAAGATATTGTAGTTTGATCATGCCCTCTTAGGAGATTCTCTCTTTCTCTCTCTCAAGCACACACACCCTCTGGCATTACAAAAAAGAAGAGGGGCCAGCAGATGGTATAGGGGTTAAGGTGCTGGATTCCCACCTGGTGAACCCCTGTTTGAGTCCTGGACCCAGTGGCTTGAAACTCTCACCAGCCACGTGTGCCTTTGTGCCCCAAATTCCAAGAGGAGAATGGAGAATGGAGAAGGGATTGTGGTGTGGCCGTATCCCCATTCCCATCCCCCAGGGTGATTTTTCATTTTTTCTCCATCTGTCTCTCTCTGTGTCTTCAGCAAGCACACGTGCCCTATAGCCAAAACAAAAACAAAAACAAAAACTCTCTTTGAAAAAAAATCAACAAAGGAAAAAAAGAAAAGAAATTCTCTTACCCTCCCACTGGGTCAACTTCTTTTTACCAAGAGTTCCCATAGCAGCATATCCCTTCCTTCCCAGCACTCACTTTGTTTTATAATTACCTACTCTATTTGAGAGATGATTTCACCAAGGTCTGTCTCCTTCAGATTAACTACATGACAGCAGACACTTTGATGTGTTTCCTCCAGTGTAGCCTGGGAGCTAACCACAGTGAATGGCACTTGGAAAACTTTATGCTCTTAACCATTGCTAACAGATTGGCCATACAAATGGCTCTCTCGGCCATGGACAAAGGTATTCTCTTTGCCTTTCAAAGCTGAATGGCATAAGAGTGATGAGTGAACTTTAGTGTCTGATGGATTATCAAACAGTAAGTGAGGTGTTGGTTGTAAGCTCAGTTTACCTGAGTTAGGATGATTCAGGGAAAGGTTTTAGTGGGTGCTGTGTGACATAGGTTGGCATTTTCTTTTTTTTAGATTTTTTTTAATGCTGTGTTCAATGACTAAATTTCCTCTCTTGTGGCCAGATGATACGTTGCTTTTTTTAAAATTTTTTTTCCAATTGTTATTTTGTTTCTTAGTTTTTACTATAGGGCACATACACTTGCCAGAGAGAGAGAGAGGAAGTGAGAAGTCACCTCCTGGGAGGAAGGTCATGTTGTAATCCCTTCTCTTCCTTCCCAGAGGGATTTTCAACCTGTCGGGTCCAGGACTAGAACTGCATAGTCAGCCATGTAAGATCCAGCAACCTTAACCATACCACCACCTAACTGGCCCCTTGCTTGGGTTTTATTAATAATATTATTGGTCTACAAAAACCTGGAATTTTAGAAAATAAAAAATTCATACTTATACAAACTATGTTGATCAACTTTCCGTAAATACCTCCCTCCTCAGTATGGGGGCTCTGTGGGAGAAGTCAAACTCTTCCTCGCATTCTGGAGATGTCACCTCCATTAATGAGAGAATCTTTGTCTATGCTAGCCCTGGTGGTTCCCAGGATACAGTCTCTGGTGTGGCCAATTCTCCTTCCAAAGGGGTTCTCTGAACTACTTCCCAAGACAGAGGTCCAAGGGAGAATGTGTGACTGCACCAGGAGCTGTTTTTCATCACTAGACTAAGAAAAACCCTCTTAACAGGAAGTAAGCCCTCTTTACTTCCTTAGAAGACAGTCAAATAATTCATAACCATTTGTATTGCTTTTGTTTTATAAACCAGAGGGTGCATGCACTCTCCAGAAACAAACAGACAGAGAGAGACAGAGAGGGAGAAAGAACCCTCCAAAGGGGAGTGGTCACGCCATAATCTCTTCTCCATTTCTCCATCCTTTTGGGATTTTGAGTACACACATATGCACACATACTGTGTTTTTCAAGCCACTTGTGCCTGGATTTGAATTGTGTACTTGGCCAAGTGGGATCTGACTCTCTTATTCACTACACCGTGGTGCTGGTCCCCGTGATCTTAAATTTTAAAAAGGCATTGCCACATATCCATTAAGGACCTGAAGTGACCATTATGGTACAGAGGCCAGACAGTTGCTTGGAGGTCTACCTGGTCTTATCTTGACAATACTTTCACCTGGGTATAGAACTACTGGATTATTCTTGGCTAACAAAGGAGCTCTTCAGAGGATCTAGCAAAAGGCATTCTTTTTTTAAAAAAAAAATTATTTAATATAACTTATTTATTAATTTATTTTAATTAGATTAGAGAGAGAGAGATGCACAGAGAGAGACACACAAAGAGAGAGACACTGAGAAAGAGAGAGAGAGAGGGAAAGTGAGAAAGCAACCCACCAGGTCTGGGACTTGAAACCCAGTCGGCCATGTGGGAGCCCAGCGCTTCAACCACCACACCTCCTACTAAGTAGGCCCTACAAAAGGCATTCTTAATAATTCTCTGACTTCAATCATGCACTCCTTCATTTATTTCTCATTTTGGAAATAAAGCCTACTATACCTGATACCTCCGGTTCTCTGGTACAAATTGAAATTTGCCTGGTGCCAGTTCCATGAGATCACCATATTCTGCAAACTTAAAAGAAAAGTTAGAATGTTTTTCTTTCTTTTAAATTTTTTTTTCAGAGGTTTTTGTCTTAGGATGCATACACTCGATATGTATATCTATATATCTATATCTATATATGTATATATATATGTAGAGAGAGTGGGGGGAGCAGGAAAGAGAAACTGAGACACCACAAATCCCTTCCTCTCCATTCTCTTTCTGGGATTTTGAGCACATAAGCACATGCACCCTGTGTGATTTTCAAGCCACCGGATCTGGGACTCAAACTGCAGTTGACTATGTGGGAGTCCAACCACATAACTACTACGCCATCTCCTGGCACTCAGAATACTTATTTCTATTTTTTAAAAATCTGGAACTGGGGCTGGCAGGTGGCATGGTGGTTAAGGGTGCAGGACTCCCTCATGGCCAATAGCAGTTGGAGTCCCAGACCAGGCGGCTTGCTTCCTCTCTCTATCCCTCTCTGGTCAAATTCAAAATAAATAAGTGTAGTTTGATCATGCCCTCTTAGGAGATTCTCTCTTTCTCTCTCTCAAGCACACACACCCTCCGGCATTACAAAAAAGAAGAGGGGCCAGCAGATGGTATAGGGGTTAAGGTGCTGGATTCCCACCTGGTGAACCCCTGTTTGAGTCCTGGACCCAGTGGCTTGAAACTCTCACCAGCCACGTGTGCCTTTGTGCCCCAAATTCCAAGAGGAGAATGGAGAATGGAGAAGGGATTGTGGTGTGGCCGTATCCCCATTCCCATCCCCCAGGGTGATTTTTCATTTTTTCTCTATCTGTCTCTCTCTGTGTCTTCAGCAAGCACACGTGCCCTATAGCCAAAACAAAAACAAAAACAAAAACTCTCTTTGAAAAAAAATCAACAAAGGAAAAAAAGAAAAGAAATTCTCTTACCCTCCCACTGGGTCAACTTCTTTTTACCAAGAGTTCCCATAGCAGCATATCCCTTCCTTCCCAGCACTCACTTTGTTTTATAATTACCTACTCTATTTGAGAGATGATTTCACCAAGGTCTGTCTCCTTCAGATTAACTACATGACAGCAGACACTTTGATGTGTTTCCTCCAGTGTAGCCTGGGAGCTAACCACAGTGAATGGCACTTGGAAAACTTTATGCTCTTAACCATTGCTAACAGATTGGCCATACAAATGGCTCTCTCGGCCATGGACAAAGGTATTCTCTTTGCATTTCAAAGCTGAATGGCATAAGAGTGATGAGTGAACTTTAGTGTCTGATGGATTATCAAACAGTAAGTGAGGTGTTGGTTGTAAGCTCAGTTTACCTGAGTTAGGATGATTCAGGGAAAGGTTTTAGTGGGTGCTGTGTGACATAGGTTGGCATTTTCTTTTTTTTAGATTTTTTTTAATGCTGTGTTCAATGACTAAATTTCCTCTCTTGTGGCCAGATGATACGTTGCTTTTTTTAAAATTTTTTTTCCAATTGTTATTTTGTTTCTTAGTTTTTACTATAGGGCACATACACTTGCCAGAGAGAGAGAGAGGAAGTGAGAAGTCACCTCCTGGGAGGAAGGTCATGTTGTAATCCCTTCTCTTCCTTCCCAGAGGGATTTTCAACCTGTCGGGTCCAGGACTAGAACTGCATAGTCAGCCATGTAAGATCCAGCAACCTTAACCATACCACCACCTAACTGGCCCCTTGCTTGGGTTTTATTAATAATATTATTGGTCTACAAAAACCTGGAATTTTAGAAAATAAAAAATTCATACTTATACAAACTATGTTGATCAACTTTCCGTAAATACCTCCCTCCTCAGTATGGGGGCTCTGTGGGAGAAGTCAAACTCTTCCTCGCATTCTGGAGATGTCACCTCCATTAATGAGAGAATCTTTGTCTATGCTAGCCCTGGTGGTTCCCAGGATACAGTCTCTGGTGTGGCCAATTCTCCTTCCAAAGGGGTTCTCTGAACTACTTCCCAAGACAGAGGTCCAAGGGAGAATGTGTGACTGTACCAGGAGCTGTTTTTCATCACTAGACTAAGAAAAACCCTCTTAACAGGAAGTAAGCCCTCTTTACTTCCTTAGAAGACAGTCAAATAATTCATAACCATTTGTATTGCTTTTGTTTTATAAACCAGAGGGTGCATGCACTCTCCAGAAACAAACAGACAGAGAGAGACAGAGAGGGAGAAAGAACCCTCCAAAGGGGAGTGGTCACGCCATAATCTCTTCTCCATTTCTCCATCCTTTTGGGATTTTGAGTACACACATATGCACACATACTGTGTTTTTCAAGCCACTTGTGCCTGGATTTGAATTGTGTACTTGGCCAAGTGGGATCTGACTCTCTTATTCACTACACCGTGGTGCTGGTCCCCGTGATCTTAAATTTTAAAAAGGCATTGCCACATATCCATTAAGGACCTGAAGTGACCATTATGGTACAGAGGCCAGACAGTTGCTTGGAGGTCTACCTGGTCTTATCTTGACAATACTTTCACCTGGGTATAGAACTACTGGATTATTCTTGGCTAACAAAGGAGCTCTTCAGAGGATCTAGCAAAAGGCATTCTTTTTTTAAAAAAAAAATTATTTAATATAACTTATTTATTAATTTATTTTAATTAGATTAGAGAGAGAGAGATGCACAGAGAGAGACACACAAAGAGAGAGACACTGAGAAAGAGAGAGAGAGAGGGAAAGTGAGAAAGCAACCCACCAGGTCTGGGACTTGAAACCCAGTCGGCCATGTGGGAGCCCAGCGCTTCAACCACCACACCTCCTACTAAGTAGGCCCTACAAAAGGCATTCTTAATAATTCTCTGACTTCAATCATGCACTCCTTCATTTATTTCTCATTTTGGAAATAAAGCCTACTATACCTGATACCTCCGGTTCTCTGGTACAAATTGAAATTTGCCTGGTGCCAGTTCCATGAGATCACCATATTCTGCAAACTTAAAAGAAAAGTTAGAATGTTTTTCTTTCTTTTAAATTTTTTTTTCAGAGGTTTTTGTCTTAGGATGCATACACTCGATATGTATATCTATATATCTATATCTATATATGTATATATATATGTAGAGAGAGTGAGGGGAGCAGGAAAGAGAAACTGAGACACCACAAATCCCTTCCTCTCCATTCTCTTTCTGGGATTTTGAGCACATAAGCACATGCACCCTGTGTGATTTTCAAGCCACCGGATCTGGGACTCAAACTGCAGTTGACTATGTGGGAGTCCAACCACATAACTACTACGCCATCTCCTGGCACTCAGAATACTTATTTCTATTTTTTAAAAATCTGGAACTGGGGCTGGCAGGTGGCATGGTGGTTAAGGGTGCAGGACTCCCTCATGGCCAATAGCAGTTGGAGTCCCAGACCAGGCGGCTTGCTTCCTCTCTCTATCCCTCTCTGGTCAAATTCAAAATAAATAAGTAAGTAAGTAAATAAATAAATAAATAAAATAATTCTTTTAAAAATATAGAACAAAATTAGCAGCTGGTGATATTAATTTTATTATTTTATATTCCTCTACTTCCATGCACTCTCATTTTTTAATGCAACAATGTCTTCAAATATATTTACTTTTTCTAGTTAGGTCTCAGAGTTAAGTAAATTAATATTAACATATTCAAATTTGTTAGACTGAGGAATTCATTTTAAACTTTGCCAGGAGGTGATGAAATAGACACGGAAGAGTTAAAGCGAACTAGTGATTAGGTAGATGCCTCAGGAAGTACTGGGTGGATCTCTGGGATGTTAGCAATGTTGGGTGGGACAGATGCAAACCATAGTCTTCCTCAAATGAATAAAATGGAATAACAATGAAATGAAACAAATGAAAGGAATAACCGTAAAAAGTGTCTAAAAGAGCATGAACATATTTTGATGTCTAGACTTTAATTCAAGTTTTCTCTTTTAAAAAATAATTGTTTTACTTAACTTTGTTTATTTATTTATTTTAATTTGACCAGAGAAGGACAAAGAGAAAGAGAGGGAAAGACAAAGTGAGAAAGCAAGCTGTCAGGTCCAGGACTCGAACCATGGTTGGCCATGTGTGAGTCCAGTGCCCTTAACCACCACTTCACCTGCCAGCCCTAATTCAAGATTTCTAACATGCTAGTGGCTTGTTTATTTATTTTTAAATATTTGTTACAGGGCATGTGCACTCACCAGAGAGACAGAGAGAAAGAGAGGGAAAGTGAGAAAGCACCCTGTCTGGGGGTTGATCACACCACAAACTCTTCTCCTCCATCTCTTGTTTTGAAATTTTGGACAGGCAGTTTCACATGCCCGGTGTGTTTTTCAAGCTGTGGGGTCTGGGACTTGAACCTCACTGCCATGTGAGATCCAGTCATCTTAATCATCATATCCCCAGCTGGTCCACACTGGTGGCTGTTAAAGAGTAGGAAAATGTGACAGTTTCTAAACAGAGTGATTTTTCCCCCCTTGTAAATATGCCATTGTATTCTTTGGCATTTTTGTAGATAGTCCACTCCGCTTCTACATTCATTAGGATATTTCTATAACACATTTTGTTCTTCCAGCATAAAAATAGGTCTTGTATGACTTGTGAATGACTCAGTCTAAGACTTTCTTTATGTTGGGGAATGGCTAAGAGTTGAAAGTTGAGATCTTCAGCTTCATGAAAAGTATTCTCGCATCTCACCAGCCTTCTTGCCATCTTCCTCTTTAAAGGAATATTTAAAGTGTCCTTATTACACGAATTGTTGCTCACTTAGAAATGAAAAGCCATGGTGATTTGGTGATGACTTTTCTTACACTCCTAATAAAAGAGTGATGGTGATATTTCTTCATAATAATGATAATAGCTAATAATTTGAATACTTATGACCCCAGGAACTGTTGATAGTAATGTATGTTATTTAATTCTCATAACAATTCTTTGGGTTAGGTCTATTAATTCCTCATTTTTTAGGTAAGCAAGGAGCAACTGTACTCCCTCCATGAAAGCTACATTATGATGACTGCCCATTGAAATTAACTTAATTCTCATGTAAAACCAGTTAGTGCTTAAAAAGGTAGATACTCATTCCAGCAATTACAGCAGTAAACACTTGTACTCTGATAGTCTCATACATTTCCATTCTGAAGAGAATAAGCTTATTGAATAATAATTCTCATACAAATAGGCTGACAACAAGAAGTCTTCTGGGTGTACTTACTTCAGAAAGTCCATTTGTGGGGATTTCGAAGGCTTGAGCTTCAGAAAGAAACAAGCAGACGAGGAAGCACGTGAGCCATTCCATTTTGCTGGATAACTTTGCCAAGCTCCCCTGAGCAGATGGCCTGGGAGGATTCCACTCCCGATTGAACCAAAGTTCAAAGGAACAACAGAAGTGTCTAGTTCGTTTTTAAAAAGAAGAAAAAAGAAGAGGAAAGCTCTTTAACTTTGTTCAGAATTGGAACAAATATTTGTCCTGGAGCTCAAGCTTGTGTTGTGGGGGTGGATCGGACACCCACGGGTTATTCAAACAGCAAAGCCAGGCAGTGGCTGGGTTGTGAGGACACGTCAGGGTCACATGGATGAGTCTTTATTTTTTTTTTCCCTTTTGCTATTTCTATTGATCTTAAAATCAGAGAAACCTAAAAATAATTGTTGTTTTTTTTAAAAGGAGCAAATGAAGAACTATACCAAGAAATAGAATCAGAGACAAAACAGCTAACGTGAAAGATTTCTAGAAATAAAATCCTTTTATTTAAGTTAAAACAGAAAAACATTTAGAAAAAGCGGGAGAAGAAATGTAATGGTTTTCTAAGCAAGAATTTATTGTTGATATTTTTGCCCCTCTCTGTTGGCTGAATACCTATTATACTTAGGAACTGGGCAAGTCACTGCACCGTATACAAAGGCTTTCCCTTCGGTGAGGACGCTCTGTGAATGTCTGATTACGGTAACAGTGTGTCTTCCTGCTGCCCCTGATCAGCCTGGCTTTGGTCAGTGGCAAATCAGTTCTTTCAGTCCCAGAATCAGGGAAAGCCCAGCCCAGGTGGAGAGATGGAGGAAAAAGGATTGTGACATGACCATGCTCCATTGGAGAATGATTTAATTCTCTCTCTCTCTCTGGCCAGCACATGTGCCCTCAGGCACAAATACAAGGGAAAAAAAAAAAAAAAGGAATAGTGAAAACGCGATAGCCTGTTATGTGCTAGATATTCTTTTAGGCACTTAAAACAAAATGGGAAATAAAGAAGGCAAGCAAGCAAGAGAGAAAGAAAGAAAGAGAGAGAGAAAGAAGAAATAAAGAAGAAAAAAACATAAAGAAAAGAAAAACACAAAGATGGAAGAAAGAGAAGAAAATATATATGATCAGTCTAACTGGTTATGATTTTCCAGTACTGAACTAAGCTGCAACCCATTTTTACCTCTGTTTTATGGATGAGAGAACGGAGGCTCAGAGAGTTTGAACAACTTGTTCAGAGTAACTGGAGATAGTCTGGGAACATGGGTCTGTGACTAGAGCCCCTTTTACAACATCACCTCTTTTAATGTAATTATCTGGCTTTTACTCATGCTGGGAAAAGCAGAACAGAGCGCTTATAAGAAAATGTATATAATAGATTACACAGGTAGAAAAAAAGGCTCATATGAAAATGAAAGCAACTTTAATTTACTATCAAATATGCATTACACTAAAAATAATTAAGAGTATGAATAACTCTGTTAGGTGATTACGGACACACAGCTAACCACAAGTTGCACAGTTTGTTGCTTCTGACTTTCTGGGGTATCATATGGTAAGGAAAAAAAATACACTATGAGCTATAAAACTGTCATTGTACCATTTCTACATGGGGAACAAATTTCCAGGAAACAATATAAAAAGAATAATGTATAAAAAAGCTTATACCAGTGAGAATTGGATAAGCAAACAAGTAATGGGGAAATGGCTAAGAAAACAGCTGAGTGAATTAGTTAATGAATTAGTCCTGTACCATAAACCCTGATGGAAACCTATGTACACAGGTATGAATACAAAAATGGAAATCACAGGGATGATGGAGGAGGCAAGACAAGAAACCAGGAGGTATTAAGAAACCCTGACAGTACTCCTGTGGAGATAGCGTGACGTTCTCAAAAAGGTAGTGATGAGACCTGCAGATGGCTTAATGGTTATGTGGTTGGACTCCCAGGTAGTTGACCGCAATTCAAGTCCTAGACCTGGTGGCTTAAAACTCACGCCAGGCACATCAATGTTTATGCCCAAAATCCCAAGAGAAGAATGGAGGAGAAGGGCTTATGGCATGGCCATCCGCCCTGGGGCATGGTTTCTCACTTTCTCAGTTTCTGTCTCTCTCTGTCTCTTCACCAAGTGCACATGAAAACTGTCTCTAAAAAAAAGGGCAGTGACAGTGAGGATGGCTTAAGATAATGGGCTCATGAGACCTTAACATAAAGTACTGTGAATCTACATAAAATCAAAAGTATGTATTTTTGATGAATAGCCATGTATGCATGAACTACTATTAACTAGTGATACCAACATGCAAACTAGTGAGGGTAAAAAGCCAAGTAATCTTGGTAACTAAGATCTTATGTCTAGGTAGTGGGTTTGTGGGGGATTTATATTTCCTTTTTATTTAAAAAAAATTCCTTGCTTCCTTTTTTAATCTATGATCATGTGCGTGCACATGCATGAAGGAGAGGGAGAGAAAAAAAGGTTGAAATGAGAGAGATGAGTACCTTCCTCTGGGTCTGGTCACACAATGCTCCCTTTCCCCAAGTCCTCCAGCTCTTTTTACCTTCGGTGTTCAGACCCAGCATTTTCAGGCTGATGGGAATGGAGACTCACACGGAGCTTGCCATGTGGGGTCAGACTTCTCTTGAACAGTGTCACAGCTGCACATGGAGCCAATCTGTTATTTCTTCTTTAGGATAGTGATAAGGAGCATTGAATTCTGCTGTCTGTCTCCCTTGGTTTATGCTCCTATTTCCTCTGCTTGTGAATTGTAAGACCAGAGGTGGTTTTCTTAATCTCCTTGAGCCTTATTTGTGAAAGAAGAATGATCTGTCAGTACTAATGGACTCAATTTTATCCCTGACAATTCCTAAGTTGACGCCCTAACTCCCAGCATAGTTGTACTTGGAATATGAAAGCAATTAAGGCCAAATGATGTAATCAAGGGTGAGGTCCTGTCCTTTTTTTCAAACAAATTTTTTAAGAATTATTTTATTTAACTTTATTTATTTATTTATTTATTTATTTATTTATTTATTTATTTGTTTGTTTTAATTTGACCAGAGAGGGACAGAGCAAGAGAGAGGGAAAGTGAGAAAGCAAGCTGCCAGGTCTGGGACTCAAACTGTGGTTGGCTATGTGGGAGCCCAGCGTCCTCAACCACCACGCCACCTGCTGGTCCCTGGGGTCCTGTCCTTGTAAGAAAAGGCACCAGAGGGCTGGCTCTCTGGGACAGTGGTAATGAGATACTCCAGAGAAGTCCAATTCCACATAGAGATCTTGGTTTGAATCCCTATCCCGATCAGCCTGAAACACACTGGGCATGCATGAATGTCCATAGATCTGATGGGCTGGAGACTAGAGGAAGGAAACTAGATCCTATGGAGGGTGCTTCTCTCTCTCTCTCATGCCCATGATCTATCATAAATAAAGTAAAAAGAAAATTACAAAACCAAACAATCAAGAATAGACACTAAAGCATGCTTTCCCTTTCTCTCTCCATCTCTTTCTCTGCCATCTGAGGACACAGTGAGAAGGCAGCTCTCTCCAAACCAGAAAACCAGCCTCACTAGAAACCAGATTGACTGACATCTTGATCTTGGATTTCTAGCCTCCAGAACTGTGAGAAATAAACTTCTATTGTTTAAGTCTCCTGGTCTGTGGTATTGTAGTATTGCCCTAGCAAACTAAGACATCCACCTACTCATATAGGGTTTTGTGAACATTTTGTGAATATTAAACAAAGTATATAAAATACTTTATATGTACTAAATGCTTAGTAAATATAAATTACAGATTTCTGTTATCATTGGAGAAAAATGTGGATTTCTATGTGAAAAAATATAGGGCACATAAAAATAGATTTCTTTTTTATCCATAAAGTTACTTTTCTATTTTTCAGATTTGTGATAGTAAATCTTAATTCAGTACCTACCAGCACAAGCCCATACACATTGTAGAAGGTGACAAAATGTTTACTCAATGATTTATTAAGCTTTTTCTTAGACAAATACTTTGTAGTTTTTTTTTTTGTTTGTTTCTTCTAAGTAGTTCAGTTGTTTTGATAGATTCTATGTTCCTTCAATTTTGTACTTTCTCTAGAATCAGGAGACTAACGCTGTGAAGAACTTTGATATATTAATCAATCTGAGTTGAATTTTTTTTTCTTGGTAACAAATAAGAGAAGCCACCTCTTGGATGCAGCACAGAGACAAGCAGCTTCAGCTCTGGCAGGATTGTGATGCATTGGAAGTTGTCTCACCCTCAGGGCCAAACACCCTGGACCAACTTTCTGGAGCTCTTCACTGCATTTAAAGCCTAATTTGTAAATAAGAATATCTCAATTCCTTTTGGTAGGAACTGCCATCATCTGTTAATCTACTGAAATGATGAACACAAAGGGAAAAATCTACTGAAATGATGAACACAAATGGAAAGAGGAGAGGCACTGATACTTGTAGGCCTTTTAGAAAATATGGAGTTATTCCTTGGGCAACCTACATGGGAATCTACAAAAAAGGTGATATTGTACGTATCAAGAGAATGGGTACACTTCAAAAAGGAATGCCCCGCAAATGTTACCATGACAAAACTACATTTTTACCCAGCATGCTGTTGGCATCGTTTTAAATAAATAAGTGAAGAGTAAGATTCTTGCCAAGAGAATTAATGTGTATATTTAGCATATTAAGCATTCTAAGAGCAGAGATAGCTTCCTAAAACGTGAGAGGAAAAATGACCAGAAAAAGAAGGAAGCCGAAAAGAAAGGAATCTGAGTTCGAGTGAAGCACCAGCCTGCTCCACCCAGTGAGAACCAATGCAAAGGAGCCTGAGCTTCTGGAACCTATTCCCTATGAATTCATGGCATGATAGGTGTTAAAAATAAACAAACTCTGGTCTATTGAAAAAAAAATACAAGAAGAATTGTCTCTATTTTTCTGCCTATGTTTCCCCTTCAGACTTTGAAATTGCACAATAGTGTATCTGCCAGAAAAACATAATTCCTGGAAAAATGGGAGAAAAACAGATCCTCCTCTCTCTTGCCTAGGATGGGCTGAGTGAACTTTCACTTAAGCGCATGGGTGTCTGAACAGAGCTCTGATGGAAAAATCCACTCAGAGCTTTGTATTCTCCACTGATTTTTTTTCCATTGGGATAATACATCTGGGTAATCATGACCCAACGGCATGTTTTTTTAGACACAATTATGATAACATTGTGGCTTCTTTTTCTTTTTTTTCTCCTTTCATCTACCATGATTTTTAATCTGATATTCAGACCTCAGGACAAATCAAACTGAGGGCAGCCTGGGTAATACTTCTCTTTTCATGCTGATAGCCTATCTGCAAACCCCAAGGTTCTTGGGAAAAAATATCCTGTTTGCTCTCTCTTGATGTTGAGAGGTCAACAGCTCCCATTAGGGTAGGCTGTGTGTTCAGGTCACTGGGTCCTGAACTGTGGTTTTTCCACCTAAACCCATGCCCAGAGAGCCATAAGTGGTGAATCAAAAGTATCCACATTTACTTACAAGCTGCTTACGTACAGCACGGAAATGGAAATCACTACTGCAAATTCCACAAGGATATTCACTTTCATGTTATGAAAAATCTATAGGAAATCTATGAAAAACTGTCCACAATGTTTCTTAATATTTGAACAGAGTAATAACTTACTTGGTATTCATTGGAAATTCTGGAAAATATCAATAAACTTGAGATTCATCAATCAGAATACAAGTCATTGTGGTTTAGCTAATGGTATGGCATTAGCCATCATGCATTTATAAAATTCAGCACTAAGTTTTAAACATTTCATTTATTTTATTTTTTTGTTGTCAGAGGGCATGTGTAGTCTCCAGAGAGGAGAGAGAGAGAGAGAGCGAGTGAGAGAGAGAGAGAAAGAAAGAAAGTAAAAAGAAACAAGAAGAAAAAGAAAGGAGAAAGATAAAATACCCTTCCTTGAGGCATGGTCATGTCGCATTTCTTCATCCCATCAGGATTTTGGCCACAAAAAATACAAAATTAGAGAGGTTGGAGCAGATTGTCTCATAAGCTCTTGAGCCATGAAATGACTCATGCTGATAAATTATTTCAGTTATTTTCTGTCCTGTGTTTCCCAGCACAGCAGCTCACATTCATACCCATTGCCAGAGTAAAGACAATCGAGCCCAGGACTATCAAGTGACCAGCTGCAATAGATCAATTCCAGTGAAGGTTCTGGTGTTCTTCCCAGGGCATCTGGGTGTTTCTGGTGGGGAAAAAGCCGTCCCGGGAAGCTGTTTCACCATAACACTAAAACACTGGTATTTAAGATACTGGGCTGGGAAGCACCTTCATAGGAGTTATTGTGACCACCTCTAAGAGGTAAATAGGGCAAGGTGTATATAATTGGGCATCTGAGTCTCAAAGATGTTAGAGGTCACTTAACTGGATATCTAAATTTAAAAAGTGATGGGAGTGAGACTCAGAGCTGTTAAGTCATGTGGTCAAAATTACCCAATCAGGCAGTGGATAGGAAGCAGTGTAGAGTCAATGTTTGGCGCACAGCTGGTAATGGTAATGGGCTTTCACTTTCAACCACAGCCCCAGCCTGCCTCTCTAACTTGTTAGTTGACTTTAAGACTTTGGGCAAATCTTGGGACCAGCAGTTAGTGAAATGGCTATGTCGCTGGACTCCCATGTAGTAGACAGTGATTCCAGTCCCGGACCTGGCAGCTTAAACTCATGCCGGGCGCGTGTGTGTGCATGCCCAAGATCCGGAGAGGAGGATGGAGGAGAAGGGATTGTGGTATGGCCACCCCCCCTGGGGGGTGATTTCTCGCTTTCTGTCTCTCTGTTTGTATCTTTCTGGCGAGCACACACGCACTATAGCAAAAACCTCTCCAAAAAAGGAAAAAAAAAGACTTTTGACAAATCTCTGCATGCCCTAATGTCCCCATCTGAAAAATGAGGACAACAAATAATACTCACCAATGAGCACATGTGGACACATAGAGAATATTCATGGAACATAATGTTCCTGCAACATATTAAGTGCTCATTACATGTTAATTATTTTTGGTAGTAGTATTAAAGCAAGTTCAATCTAAGGATTTCTGACCTCTGGGTAAGTACTGAGTACTTTTAAAAAATATTTATTTTATTTACTATTATTATTTTTAAAATTTGGTATTAGGCACAAGTGCTCTCCAGAGACAGAGAAAGAGAAAAAATGAGAAAGCAAGCCTCCAGGTCCAAGGCTTGAACCATGGTCAACCATGTGAGAGTCCAGCACCCTAAACATCATACCACCTGCTGGTCCAGTACTAAATACTTTTTACTTCAATCCTGTCTCCTCAGAGTGTCTTAAGGGCACTTCAAACGGAATGAACATGGCCAAGGAGGAAGGTATTCTGTATTTAGCTTCTTGTGAAGGCTGTCCACATCTCCTTGACCTCACTGCTTCCCTTAGTAAACCCCTTGCAGTTCAGTGTCCAGGCAATAGGACCAGCCCTGGTCTCTGCCTCCTAGTGAGATGAGAGTTGAAGGGGCATGTAAGGATAGGCGGGATGAAGAGCTGATGAAAACCAGCGGCAGCACCACCTGTAGCCACAGTGTGGGAAAGCCAAAGAGAGAGAAGAAATCAAGGCTTGAGGAAGACCCTCACACCCAAATGCACTTTAGAAACCATGTTTGGAAGGTGTGGGAAAACGTCAAGAAAAACAAGAGGCCGACAGTCAGGGAAAAGTGGGTTAATATCAATTTGAAATTTATTTCGCTTAGTTTTCCCTTGGAATGTGACCATCGACCTGGAGAGACTAGCACAAGCAGTGGATAAGAGGGAAATAAAACCCAAGGGAAATGTGGACACAATAAGGCTGCACTGAAGCAGTTTAAATGAATCGCTTCCCAGACTAATTATACCCTAGGGCACCGCAAGGAGTTCTGAATTGAAAGAACTTGTAAATGATTACTATTAGGTACTTTCAATTTCAAAAAGGAGAAAATTTAGATTCTGTAAATTATAGATTGGGGAGCTTGAAATTGCTTGATTTTGAAAAAAAGAAATATGTGAAACTATTTAAAGGATGGTTTGAAAACCCTTTTTAAAAAGAAGCAATTTGACAAAGTTGCATTGGGAAGGAGTTTGAGACTCCCTAGCCATGGGGTAGGCATGAAATAGAAGCCACTGGATGGATGATGAGGATCTGTGTGGAAGTGGAGGGTTGACAGACTGAGGAAGGCAAAGGACAGCTGGGTCCTGTAGTCCAGTGGGGAGTGCAAAAAAAGCAGAGGGGGTGGAAACAAAGCCAAGGAGGGAGAGTACTAGCAGGACTGTCTGCAGTAATCGTCCCCAGCCTTCTTGGCACCTGGGGCCAGTTTCGTGGAGGACATTTTTTCCACGGACTGAGACCGGGGGAAGGTTTTGGGATGATTCAAGTACATTGCGTTTATTTTGCTCTTTATTATTTATTTATTTGAGAGATTTTTGCAATAGGGTGCATGCGCTATCCAGGGAGACAGAGAGAGAGAAAGTGAAAAATCACTCCCCTCCACTGCCCCCGATGGATGGCCATGCCACAATCCCTTCTTCTCCATTCTCTTCTTGGAATTTTAGGCATGCACACACATGTGACTGGCATGGATTTTAAGCCGCCAGGTCCAGGACTAGAACGGCTGTCGACTATGCGGGAGTCCAGCAATGTAATTATTACAGCATCTGCTGGTCACTTGCATTTTATTTTTATTATTACATTGTAATAATAAGGACCAGTACAGTCTGTGGCCTTGAGGTTGGGGACCCCTGGTCTGCAGGATCTGGATGCAGGAGAAATCAAACCATCTTCAGGTGTACCTGAGGCGGGACTTGAGTCCAAGACAGAAATGGGGGCCAATTCTATTTAGACATTTAGAGGCAAACTAATTTGCCAGTGGATCCAGTAACTGGTAACTATCATTGCCTGTATGTCATAGGCAATTCTTCCCCTTGACTACTGAGCTTGTAAATG